GAGAGAGAGAGAGAGAGAGAGAAGTAAATTGTAGATAACATTTTTTATTGAAACTAGATTGTAGTAACTTTCAGGCACATATGGAGGGAAACAAACAGGAAAGCGGATAAGTACGCAAAACAGGGTGCCATGACCATCCAGCTCACTGTTCAATGGTTAAACATGGAGAGTCTAGACTAAGATATTTTTGTGGCATGATCACTCTTTTGTTTGTTTGTTTGTATGTATGTCTTTTTTTTTTTTTTGGTGTCCTTCCTCCACCTATGTCTCCTCTATCTTTCCACAGCCCCTCTGTCCCATTGTCTCTCACGCCCCACAGACCTTTCCCCCACTACAATTTGTATGTACAGCCTATAGAAAACAGCAAGACCCAGTGGCAGAATTTTTCACAGACAAAATAGTACCATTTTTGTAAGAGGAAATTGCCTATAATACAATAGTCACATTTCATCAAAAAGAGAGAGAGGCTCATATCATACTTGCGTATTGCTAGTAGCTTCTCAATCCATACATGCATATAATAACTGAAAAAGAAAACATATGCATGGATGCGAATACGAATGATGAAGCAATGTTAATATCAAACAAAAACATACAATTGTAGATCTCAATATTGGTGCCAAATGATAAAAATTGGAACTCATGAGAGACATCAAGGGACCAGAAGAATAAAATTGACCATGTTCCTTTAATCAAAGTAAAGGAACTAATAACTACAGAGCCGAAAAGGGAATGCTCACCTGCAAAAGTGTTCCATAATTGCACTTTTTCAGAGGAAACAATTCAGGAGCAGAAACCTTTGAAGTCATATAGTCTGTGAGGTTAATGTTCACCTCTCCAAGAATGCCTGACCTAGCTGATCCCTGGAAAAATTCTGGTTGGTTTAAAGTGGAGGTAATCCAAATGAACATTTCAGAAGACAAAGGTAACATATTCTAATTTTATCACACCCAAAGAACGTAAAATCCTACCGTGGCAACAACCAGCCTGAAAGGCCTTTCTTCAAGCACTCTAGAAGTATCATCTTGTGAAACCCATATGGTTTCTGATAGAACCTCAGTCCATTGACAATTCCCATTGCGCACCACTGATTTGTTTGACTTAGCAACTGCTTTTCCTGTTTCAACAGATATAATGGACACGAAAAGCTTGTCCCATCCCCTAGGCACCTATTTATCCACAAATATTAGAAGAACATCGATACAGGTTGCCAAATTAAAGAAGCTTTTGGAAGAAATAGACTACTTGCATACATTCTATAACATCCACTAAAGGATGTTGGAATTAAAGCATATATGTATACAAGGAAGAATCATGAACTTCAAATCATTATGAATCTAAAAACGAATAATAAATAGGTGCTGATAAAAATTGTCAGTCGTGAATCATATGTTAGGACATGTGAATCAAACTGGAATTCAAAAAGGCCCCTCCTCTCAATATGTTGGAGCTTGATCTAGCCAGTTTAGACATGGATGCATGTAAAGTTAAGCTTGTTCTCAAACCAGTAGAGATGCCATGTATTGACATTCCAGCTCTCCATCCAAAACTGAAGGCACCTCCATCACTTCGAGGCCATTAACTTATATATGTCAGTGTCCCTAATGAATCCAAACCAGGGTGCAAAAAGTCCTCATAGGCTTGGGAGCAGGCCCATGACCGAGAAACTCGAGGTGGGTCTATGAAAATGAGATTTTATAGATTTTCTTTTATTTTATAGTTTTCTTTGTTTTCTTTTTCTTTTATAGTTATACATAGTAAAGAAATAAAATATATAATTCTAATATAAATGAGAATGAGTAAAGTGCAGCTGGTAGGATCCAACCTATTATTGAAATAAACAACTCGCACACACTCCCTCTCCGAAAAAATTCAATACACCAAGCACCACACTTAGATTTATTGGATTCACTTCTGATCTCGATGAAGCTGCTCAGAATCAATTGGCAAGAGGTCAACGATTGCGCAAGTTGACCTCTTGCCAATTGTGTAAAGGCTTCTAACTTTGCAAATTGAGGCAGTTCCAATTTTGATTTGCCACCAACTTGTTTCATAGCTTTAATTTGAGCTGCCGATTCTACTCTGGAAATGGAAATACCCACATTAATAGCAGGTCGGATTCTAGCATTGAATAGATCGGCAGATAAGAAGATTTATTCATCTGTAATGGAAATTACACTAGTGGAAATGTATGCCGAAACGTCCCCAGATTGAGTCTCAACTATTGGTAAATCAATCATACCTCCTTCGCTAAAACGAGAACTTGATTTAGCGGCTCTTTCCAAAAGTCCAGAATGCAAATAAAAAATATCTCCTGGATAAGCTTTGTGACCAGGAGGTCTTCTTAATAGAAACGACATTTGGCAATAAGCTTGTGCTTGTTTAGAGGGATCATCATGAATTATTAAAGTATGTCGTTCACGGTACATAAAATATTCAGCCAGGGCTGCTGCTTATATGAATAGTCATAGGGCCAGTTAGATGTCTGGCATCCAAATATGAATGTTATATATGTATCATTTGTATTTTACATATTTATCAATTAGTACTTCATTTTAGAATGGAAAAAGAAATTGAAAATATAATGAATTAAGGTCATGTTGATATTCTTTAATTTGTAATTCAACTTAACTAAGTTATGCTTGGGACCAGGTTTAAGTTGAGTTTGAGATTTTGTGAACATTAGAACTTATATATAACTCATAAAGTACCTAAGCAAGAAGAAACAACCACAAAACAAGAGAATATATGCAACAGAGTAAGACATGACCCTGAACTTGCAGTCCAGAAATGGGTAATTAAAGAAAAGAAAGAATGAAAAAAATCAAATGTCAAATGAATTATCCAGATTTTAGACATGTGTTAATTGGAACAACACTTACAGAGTATCAAAGGACAGTAATAGAGTGTATACGTGCGGAACAGGTAATCAAAAGACAATACACCAAAAATCACAAAAATTGAAG